CAAATGAGGAAGAAAGGAAGGAGGAAGAATTGAGGACAGGGGAGAGGAAGCAGGAAAAGGAAAGGACAAGGAAGAGCAGGAGGAGGAGTTGGAGGAGGAGGAAGAGGGGTGCAGGAGGTGGGGGAGGAAGGGGTTAAAGAAAAAGCAGGTGGTACAGAGGAGAAGGAGAAGAGGAGTAATACATCGTTAACATCCCATTTTTATCATGCTCCTGCGATGACCTGGTTGCCATGGAGACCCACCTGTGTGACCCCGATGCGGACGTCCTTGCCCACCGAGCTCGTCCCCTTCAGCATGTCTCCGCTGGCTCTGAGGAAACCTGCCCCGCCCCGCAGGAACCCCCCCGACAACAAATCCATCACCTCCTCCAGGGAACTCCGACCCCGCCCACTCGGCCTCAGGGCTGCTGGGAAAAAGAGAGAGAGATAGAGAGAGAGAGAGAGAGAGAGAGAGAAAGAAAGATAGTCAAACTAAATGTCTTCCTCCACCTGACCATCGTCACCTCACAGTGGTAGTTTTAGGACTATTTGGGCGCACCACACACGTGTTCCTCCAGCTCTAAAGCGGAACAACTTGAAGTGAATAATCAGCTGATCATACCTGCCGTCTGTCTGGGCTCCACCGCAGCGGCCAGCAGAGTCCCCAGCAGTTTGGAGACAGAAACTCGGACGTTGTAGTTTGATCCTTCGAACGCTCTGAAGCACAGCGTGGCCACGTTCTCCAACTCGCTGCTCCACAGGAACGCCGCCTCTCGCTGCAGCTCCTGCAGACACTGAGAGGGACACGAGGAAATACGTCACTCAACGTTTACAGAGAAGGTTAGACACAAACCGCTGCATGGAGGGCGAGCTTGAGGGGGGGCATAGATGAATAAGATGGTGGGTGATTTGTCAAATACGCAGCAGGGTTGATGCGTTTCCAGTCGTTACCTTGGCGGAGGCGCAGCGTACAGCCATAGACCGGTCCGTGAGACAGGCTCTCGCCGCCTTGTAGATGTCGCGGTGAGAGGACACGGCGCTGACACCCAAACCCTGCAGGATCTTCTCCAAACACAACATGATCTCATACCGACCCTGAGACTGGCAGAGGGAGGTAGAGGAGGGAGGGGGGTTAAAATTCTTGTGACTCATGGGGTCTTTGTGGACACTTTTCTTGTTTGGCTCAATGATAAGAAACACATCTTCCTGAAATCCGTTTGTACATCTGAAGACAAACCTCTGCGCTCTTCATCGCCTTCAGCAGGTTGGTCAGCGTGTCTTTGAAACAGCCGGCAAGCATCCGCCCAAGCTGCTCGAACAGAGCGCCAAGACACGCCACAGCCGCCCTGAAATACAAAAATACATGTTTCACCTATCACATAGGGTCGTCATGACAAGAGTGTTAAACTTTCCAATGAATCTAGTAACAGTAGTATCTGTTTGATACACCTTTGATACTAACACCCGATGTTCGGTACTTTCTTGTTTTTAATAAACAAAAGTGGAAGGAAAGCTCCGACACCGTCTGAACTGTTTAATATGTTGGATGATTATATAAAGTGTCCCCTCCTCTGCTTTCTGCTTGTTTGTAGAAGACATAAACATCACTGTCACGTCTCTATGAGACGCCAAACGGACGTGAGACATGTCAGTGTTTGAGTATTTACCAACCTGTGATTTTGATTTGATTTCACTCGCAGAAAGATTTTGATTCTTTGAAGCATCTTTTTTAATAGTTTTCAAGTTTTCTTTTTAAAATAAACAGTTTCAAACCAAAGCTAAAAGCTGGTATAGACTTCAAAGCTTGTTTTTCCCATCTTTCCTACGTGCCCTGAACGCAGCCTGACTTACAGCCGGGTCGGGAGGCCTGACGGGGAGTCGTCTCTACTGCGGATGATGTCATTACACCGATCAACCATCAGGCTGGCAGGAACAGGGTCACCCAGGCGGTAGAGAAGGGCCAAGCAGTGGGCCAGCAGCCAGCGGGTCGGCGGCCCGGGGGAGCCAATCAGAATGCCCGACAGCTGGTCGATGAGACGCCGCTGGTTGTGTTTGACGTGGGCCTGGAGAGAAGAAGAGATGTCGTTAGGATCACATCGAAGTTTAAAATCTGCCGCTCTATTTCAAACGAGGAGGCGGAGCAGCTCTCACCCTGTCGGTGGCTGGGAGGAGCTTCTTCAGGTGGTTCAGCCATTCAAAGATAAACTCCACCCTCTGATGTTCACCCAGTTGACCGCACGCCTCCTCGTTCAGCAGGAGGCTGTGAGCGCGCTCCATCCTGAACCTCCAGCAGCTCCTCTTCGTCTCCTCTCAGTGGAGGTGAAAACTTCTGTCTTGCTTCATCATCGCTCTGAATCCTGTTAAAGAGAGAGAGGAAACAAGCTCAGCAAAGAAAGTTCATGAGCTCACGGGTCACATCAAAAACACCAGCTCCTACATTTCCCACAATGCATCTCAGCAGCATCTTTGCATTAGACTCTCTGTACTCTACGTGACTGACTCCTGCAACGTAAACTAAGACACTGATAATCCCACAGTCCAACATGCTGGTGTCTGAAAATTCAGGTCCAGCTGCAAAACCAGCGCTGCCTTCATTTCCCAAAATGCACCTAAACATTTGTTCCTCAATAAAGCTTTTTAAACAGCCGTGTCTTCAAAAACTCAACACCGTCTATTGACATGGTGAACAGGCGTTCAACATCAGACAGATTCTTTGAAGCCAGGTGTAACGATCAAACTTTTACAGCCAGTATTCAGAATATTTTCACCACCGTGTCCCATCGATGAATACCCTGAACAGCCCTACAATCAAAAATCCAAACCATCTCTCTAAAGGTTCAGTATCTGGGCCATGTTCTCGTGCTGCGTTCAAGTGCAGAAGAAGCCAGACTTCTGTTCAGTGTCATGTGTTCTGTGGGAAAAAACCTGACCTGAAAGAGAAACAGCGAATGAAAACAAGCCGTGAAGAGAGACAGAGAGAGAGACAGAGAGAGAGACAGACAGAGAGACAGACAGAGAGACAGACAGAGAGAGAGACAGAGAGAGAGACAGAGAGAGAGAGTCCAGAACAGACCAGCTCAGTGTTTGAGGCTCATTCAGGTCCAACAGAGCGGATCGGGACCAGAACAGGACGAGAGAGAGACAGAGAGAGAAAGAGAGCAACTCATCAATTATTCAACAGCTCTACTCCTCTCTCTCCTCCAATGACACACACACACACACACACACACACACGCACAGAGACACACACACACACACACAGATCACAAAGACGCAGGAAGATGAAGGACGACTATAAATAACCTCGTGTCCCACAGAACAAATCCATGCTGTGATCAAACACTTTACTGCAGAACTTGTTAACTCTTCATGAAAGTAAAGAGTTTTATGACATGAGCTAATCAGATCTATTTGTTTTTTTGAACCAGGCTGTAAACATGTTAATCTCTGCTGTAAAAACAGGCTTTTTTGAATGGGTGTGTATGTGACTTCCTGTTCTTCTGCAGCCAGCCTCTAGTGGACACTTAGACATAATGCAGGATGGTTGTACGGAAAAGTGGCCAATGTTTTTTTGTGAAATTTAGACAGTGTGCAGGAGCTACCGTCCAGTGCTCTTGTCGTATAGCAGTCGTGAAATCTTCGATTCTTTATTTAAATAGTCGATCATTAAAACGTATCAGGTAAAAAAAAACTAATCGATTAAGAATCGAACATGTTTGACCTGAACCTCAGTGTCTCCCAGGTTGTTTTTACAGAGTCTAATTTAAATCTGACTATTAAAGGTTAAATATTCACAATGACTACATCATAACATTAAACACATACATTTTTAATAAATAGGATAAACATGAAGACAGCCTCCTGTCTCATAAAAACACATTATTAAATATTAAAACATACTTTAAAGCTAGCTGGCAGCAGATGTAAATACACACACTGTCTCTTTTCTCTCTCATCAATTATTTAAATGTTTTTCACTTCTTTACTCATCTTTTAATAAACAGACCGCCCCGCTGCTAGCATCGGGCGGCTAACCGGCTGAGCTAACGAGCAAAAGTTAAGAGACAAACCGGAAAAAAGAGCGGAATGGTTACCCGTTAGTGTCCGTTAAAGCCGTTAATCCGTACAGGTGTGTGTCAGTCCAGAAAAATGTCAGCAGAGAGTTTATATCTGTTTATTATTCTGCTCTCGGTGTCTCCGTGAAAACAGCTGAGCTGCCCGCGGCTCAACGACTCCGCTAGTGAAGCTAGTGAAGCCAGCGGAAGTTACGAGAAGCACATCCGGTTGCCGCTTCAAAAATAAAATCTTTGAAGTTTATAAGAATATAAAAACATATTTTATTTGCAAAATTGCCTTAAATATATTGATACCAGGGGGAAAAAATGTAGGAATTTGAATATATTCATATATGAATAATATTAATATTTAGTTATTGGACTTGTGGACATGTATTAATGTAGAGATGTCAGAGAGGGGCTGCTACAGGGAGCGTGTCAGAGCGGTTTGGGGTCCGGTGCCTTACCAAAGGACACCTCAGCTGAGCTCAGGGAATGAATTTACACCTCTCCAGCCACCAGACAAACGCCCATACTTTTGTCCACACTAGTATTGGGGACCCTTCATTTTCCAAAACAAGTCCTTACAGCGCATTCATCTATTATCTACCGTTTGTCCCATTCGGGGTCGCAGTGGGCTTGAGTCGATCACCTTCTTATTTCCGGTTAGATTCGCGCTTATCTTCGCTACCTTTACTGCTAGGCTGGCAGGGATTATAGTCGTTTGTCGAATCATGGAACACAGCCAATAACAAACAAGCCAAACGACAGTAAGCCCTGTTTACAGTCTCACAGGCTGAACTCGTGTCGTTATTAAAACCTGTTTTAAACCGACAGGGGTAATACGGAGCGTAGACGTAAGAGACAGAGTCGTGGTCCGTCAACTTCTGAAGGAAAACGTACTTAAAATGTTCTTAGAAGAAATAAACATTTGCCTGTCAGTTACAAAAAGGGAAAATGTCACAAATCACTACCCAGGACGCAGAGTCAATAGTGGAGCTGCAGATTGAGGGTGGGCAGTACCACCATGACAGACTGTACGAGAAGTTTCTACCTGCCCGGTGCAAAAATCTTCATACTAGGGACAGACTCGTTGCTCGGTCTCTAGTCGGATAAAGTTCCGCTGAGTTCTCCTGAGACTCGGCCCGTTAGCAGGTCCGGTGTTTCTACACTAAACACACTTTAACAAGCTAGCAGGCTAAGCCAAAGCTAGGTCTGTTTACATTACAGCTAACAGCTAGCTGCTGTCAGCGGGATGTTTGGCTGTTTGGTCGCCGGTCGGTTGGTGCAGACCGACGCGGTGCAGGTCGCCTCGGATAAGTTCGTGTTCAACCTGCCGGACTACGAGCACGTGAACCATGTGGTGGTGTTCATGCTGGGCACGGTGCCGTTCCCCGCCGGGATGGGCGGTGCCGTCTATTTCTCCTTCCCTGACCCGGTGAGCGGCGGCCCGGTGTGGCAGCTGCTCGGCTTCATCACCAACGACAAGCCCAGCGCCATCTTCAAGATCTCCGGGCTGAGGACAGGGGAGGGCGGCGCGCACCCCTTCGGGATGATGGCCTCCTCCCCGTCGCCCTCCGTGGCTCAGGTCGGGGTGTCCGTGGAGGTTCTGGAGCAGCTGTCCCAGCAGGTCAGGGCCGAATCAGAGGGGGGGGCAAGGGGTGGACTAGACCCTCTTGAAATCCAAATCCCAAACTATGATTGGCTGTTTTCCTTTCAAGAGTTCTGGCTTAAGTTATGTCAACTACTTGAGCTGTGTTGCAGTCAGGGTTGTCAACATTTTTAGTACTTCTTCGATGCCATGTTTAAATCTCAGTCATTTTCTACAATCTCAGTTTTTGGTGTTCAAAATAAGAGGCGCCCCTGTATTGTTTACATCAGACTTCTGTTGTTGTTGTTGTTGTTGTTGTTGTAGTTGTTCCTGTAGTTTGGAAACAGGTTGTTGATATTGTTTGTTTTTTGCTGGTAGCATGTGAAAGTTTAACATTTCTGGTATCGTGACAACCGTAGGTCCCCGTGTCCAGCGCCGCCGTGTCCACCGTGGACTCCTTCCTGCAGTTCACTCAGAAGATGCTGGACAGTCTCTACAACTACGCCTCGTCCTTCGCCGTCACACAGGCTCAGATGACCCCGAACCCCTCGGAGACCTTCATCCCCTCCAGCTGCATCCTCAAGTGGTACGAGAACTTCCAGAGGAGGATGGCACAGAACCCGAACTTCTGGAAGAACTGATGAGAGCAGAGACACTAAAGACTCAGACCAAAGACCGGACCTCTCAGTGCCTGCAGCTTCTAATTAAAGTCTCATCAGAAGTTTTCACCGTGCTCAGTGTCGGCTTTCTACGGAGCCCCGCGAGGCTCATGTGAGAGCAGATAAGCCGTTTGTTAATCCAGTCCCACAGTTCAGGAAACACGTCCACAGATTGTTCATCCATGTGCACGTATATGTTTGGGACCGGATCTACAAACAACTTTTTATCTTTTCCTACCTGAACCTCGCAGGACTCCGTAGCTTTCCTCTCTGATGCTTCTACAGAAAACACTTCCTGTCTGAGCTCACAGTCTGTTACACTCAACATGCTGTCAATAAACAATGTTTAACAGCCGGGTGCTGAATCCCGAAAAGCTGTCGCAATTTAATTTATAAATCAGATTTTATTACAGGTGAGCTTAACGTGCTTTACAGTCAGGTCAAACACAGAAATACAACAACAGAATGTTTCTACAGAAATCAAATCAATAAAGCCAAACATACTGCACACACACACAGAATAACTATTGGTATGTTTGGGAGAACAGATGTTTTGGACTTCAGTTCAACAGGTAGTTTGTTTAAGAGAGAAGGACTACAGTAACTAAAGGCTCCCTCTCCAGGCTTTGATCTAACTCTGGGTACGGCTAACAGACCTCCACCTGGAGACCTGACGGGTCGGGTCGGGTAGTAGTCTGTGAGCAGGTCAGAAATGTGGACAGGAGCTGAACCACTGAGAACTTTATGGACTAGTAAAATGATTTAAAAGTGGTTCTGTGTTGTTCGGGGAGCAGGTGGAGTGTTTAGAGGACCAGAGTGATGCTTTCAGATGTTCTCATACAGGACAGGCTGCAGAGCTTTGAATAAGTTGAAGTCTTCCTACAAGTGGTTTGTGGATCATCCAGTGATGTAATCTAATTGAGATGAATGCATGGACTCATCTCTCTGTGTCTGTTTGGGACATGAAGGCTCTGAGGTTTGATTTGTTCTTTAAATGGTAAAATGCTGCTCTGCTAACATCGGCGATCTGACTGCTAAAGTCTGAATCCAGAGTAATGCCATGATTTGTTGGCTCACTGTATTTCATGGACATGGATCTGGGGTGGAGAAGGATGAGTCCGAAACAAAAGAAACCATGAGCACAGAACTCCAAACTGTACTATCCACACTATCCGAGCTGCTAACACATAGTTTATGTCTTTGTTGTTTAAGGCATCTCACGACCCATGACCTCCAGGGGGGATCCTGACCCCTACTTTTTGGAACCACTGAGTTAGACGACAGAGGAACTAAAAGTCGGGGAAAAAAACTACCCTGGGATGTTTGCATGAAACTCAAGTGAAAACAAAAAGCACAAAACTCACATGAAGTTTAAAGACTAAAATATTTCCCCAGAGATTTTACAGAGCTGATGATGAAACCAAGAACATAAAAAACACCAAATATAAAAAATATAAAGTGAAATTTACAAAGTGTGTGTGTTTGTGAGGTTGGTTATTATAGTTTCTATTCCTAAAAACATGGAGATTACTTTCAACCAAAATGAGACAATTCCCACATTTCTGGACAAAAATATAAACATGATATTTACTTTTTTTCATATCAGCCACTAGAGGGCACTGCAGCCATTCTTCAAAAGTTTCTCTGAAAATGATTAAGAGCCTGAATATTTTATCCATGGGGGGGGGGAGGAGCTTTCGGCTGAGTTCTGTAGAAAACACAAGCAATCTGTTGTAACTCGAGGTTGGAAGTCGTTTGTGAAGAGGGAAGTGCGAGGGGAGCTGCAGATAAGCTGTTACATAAAGGCCTCTCACACAAACACACACTCACAGCGTGAATAGCTGCACTCTTCCTCTTTTAGGGACTTTATTTTTGCGTATTTGCAGTCAGGATGCTGCTGGAGCTGCTGCTTTTCGGGGCCGCGTTAGTCGGACTTTATTTCCTCCTTCACTTGACTGTTTTAAAGATGCCGAGGTGTAAAAGTGACGTGACGTTAAACGGGAAAACTGCCATCGTCACCGGTGAGTCCACAGGCCGAGCTACAGGCTGCAGCAGATAATGACACTGACACTTGAAGGATTGTGTTGACACTGCTGGCTGAATAAATCACTTCTTATAGAGGAGGTATGAGAAACATGCAGAGTGCTGAAACCCGACGCTGCTCGGAGTGACAGAGAGAAATGTTCAGAACAGAAAGGAGACACACTCAGAGCCTCTGAAACGGGCTCTTAAAATGTTCTGTAAATTGATTAATCTTTAATATAGTAATAATTATGATCAACTTTGATATCATTCTAGGAAAAATCAAACGATATCGATTTTTGTTAGCACGGCAACAAAAATAGAATTCTTAGGCCCCGTGCTCACCTAGCATTTTTTCCGGGCAGAAAAGCACTGGCTTTGCATTCGAGAGAGCTTGAATGAAGCGTTTGTTCGCTTAGAAGAAAAGCGCTGCACGTCCGTCCTGTCTCTATGACAACAGTCTGTCTGGAAGAAACTGGTGGAACTAACAGAAATTTTGCTTTCATGGATTAATTAAAAACTCTGCTCAACTTTTTCCATCCTCTCCAGGAGCAAACACTGGCATCGGTAAGACCACAGCAATGGACTTGGCGAGGAGGGGGGCAAGAGTGATCATGGCCTGCAGGGACAGAGGCCGAGCAGAGGCCGCCATCAAGGACATCGTCCAGGTAAAGATGAAACAGCTTCTAAATGTTTCCTACTGTGAAGGGCTCCAAAGCGTAAACTTTTTCTGCAGATGATTGAACTGACAGTTGGCGTACCTCAGGGTTATATGCTCGGTCCTCTCCTCTTCTGTTTACACTGTATATAATACGTCTTCAATGTTTTGCTGATGGTACTTTTGTAAATGACCCTGTCCCTTTGAGGGTATTTGTCTTAAAACCAGCAAAGATGTCGACACTTACTCTGTGTTCAGGAGACGGGGAACAACCAGGTGGTCTTCATGCAGCTCGACCTGTCCAGTCTGAAGTCCGTTCGATCATTCGCTGAAAACTTCCTGCGTTTGGAGTCCAGACTTGATCTGCTCATCAACAATGCTGGTCAGCGTTTTATCCTCATGGGTTAATGTACAATGGATCACTGGTTTACAGTTTATTAAAGCAGACATACGTTTACAGACTAATGTTTAAAAATGATCAGTCTCTGTCATTTTAATGATCAGTAGTATCAAAGGTAACGAAACATGGGTGTCTAGGACTTCTTTTTTAGTTGCCATGGTAACAAAAAGGTGTGGAATCATATCAAAGTGTAAACTTCTGGTAAAGTGAAAACACAAGTTTATTATCTGTGGTGTGTCTGTCTTCAGGTCTGTTGTCAAAGGGAAAAACAGAGGACGGCTTTGGGATGATCTTTGGTGTAAATCACCTGGGTCACTTCCTGTTGACGGTCCTGCTCCTGGACCGGCTAAAGGCGAGCGGCCCGAGCCGCATTGTGACGGTGTCATCTGACGGCCACAAGGGAGGGAAAGTGGATTTCAATTGTCTGACGACTCACAGAGATTTAAGTTTGGGCGACAACGACTTCCAGCTGCTCAAGAACTACTGCCACAGCAAACTGTGCAACATCCTGTTCACCACCGAGCTCGCCAAGAGGCTGCAGGACTCAGACGTCACCTGCTACAGCCTCCATCCAGGTGCGTAGACCACAGGCTGGTTTCAGTTTCAGTAAGACTACCTGACAATAGTGACCTGTCAATCATATATAGCCCACCCTAACTCCTCCCCCTCTCTAATTGGACCATAATTGACTAAATTAACATCACCCTGTGTTGAAGGAAACTTGAAACAGAGTCAGACTAACTGTTTTTCTCCCATCTGTGCAGGAATCATAAAGACAGAGATCGCTCGGAACACGGGTTTCTTGTGGAAGCTCGTGGTGACACCCATCTTTGCCCCTTTCCTTGTGGACGCTGAGTCCGGAGCTCAGACCACGCTCCACTGTGCACTGGAGCCGGGAATCGAACACCTCAGTGGACACTACTTCTCCAGCTGTGCTCCACTAACCAACCTCAAGGCGAGAGACGATGCCACGGCGAAGAAGCTGTGGGAGCTCAGCGAGAGTTTCTGCGGTCTGTCCTAAAATCAGAAATTAAAATCTGAGCTTTGTTTTTCTTTCCCCAAAATAATTCTCATAAAGAGACCCTTTTTAAAGATATAACAAGTATGTTTCTTTGTACTCATGTTGTACAGCATTACAATGTGACGTCTCAAGATTCTGATTGTCCTTGAATGCATCACTGCAGAGTTCAGAACTGTCTGTACTTCATGATAAACATTGATTTATAATCATGTAACAGTGACTCAATGTTTACTTCAACTGTAGATTATTGAACAGCTAACATTAGCAGCAATATTATTGTTTAAGTTTTTTATTGATTTAATCTCATAAACATGACAGGACAAACTAAATGTTGATCATATTTCAAACTGACCACGCATCTATTCTTTAAATTTGAATATTGTTATTGTTTTTTAAAATAGATATTTTACGTGAAATCATTCACTTAAAACGTTTTTAATTTAAAGGAGCAATATGTAACTCTGACACCTAGAGTTTAAAGTGGGTACTGCATTCCAAATTCTAAACATTGTAGAGAGCTGTCTCTCCCCCCCTCTCTAGAGTCCATGCTCACGCAGGTTGCCATGTGGTGGACACTGAAGCTTCAGTGTTTATCCAGCTCTGCATCGGTCTGTAAACCTTTCTGTGTTCTAACCTCTCTCCATTTTTCAAAAGCATCTCCAATATTGATCCTAGTTTGAGCACGTTTCTGCTCGTGGAGCTTATTAGAAACATGCAGAGGCTTTTTAGGTCAGGTACAATTACTTCTATCTGAACCAGTTCTCTTGCCCGCCTCCATCACTGCAACACCTGTTGGTTTGACCTGATAACTGGTCTCATATCTGGCAAACCGAGGGGCGTCTTAAACAGCCGTGTGGGGGGGCCTTAAAACCACGTACCTTCTCTGGTCCAAACACTCCAATGATAAGAAAAGCCCATTCTCTCCGTCTTTTCCCTGCCCCACTTTTCAGAAAATGTGTGCTCAAACAGGCCGTTTGAGGGCTACAGGCCTATTAGTTTACCTTGTAATGACCTGAAGTTACTTACAAATATCATGGCAAAAAGGATCCAAAAAATTATAATAAAGTTGATTAACCCAGACCAAATTGGTTTTATTCCCAGCAGACAAGGATCAAATAATATAAGGAGAACACTAAATATAATTTCCTGTGCAAGGAAAAGTACTCAACATTCTATGTTGATTAGTTTTGATGCACAGAAAGCCTTTGATACTGTGAGTTGGCACTTTCTACATAAAACCTTGGATGCTATGGGATTCCATCCGGAATTTGTTGAATGGGTAAGGGTTATATATACAAATCCAAAGTCGTGTGTGAGAGTGAATGGTTGCTGCTCAGATTTGTTTGGTCTTCAAAAAAAAGAGGTCAGACAGGGAGATTGTCTCAGTCCCCTGTCATTTGCAATTAACATCAAGCTCTTAGCAGTATTAATAAGGCAAAATACAAATATTAAAGGTATAAAATATGTAGGTGAAACAGAGCACAAAATATCCTTCTATGCTGATGACATTTTAACATATATCAGTGATCCAATTGCTTCTGTTCCTGCATTAATGAGTAATATAAAATAGCCTTTCCAGAGAGAGGCGTGGTCAGACAGCTCATTTACAACACTGCTGGGTTGATTGTAGATGAGAAGCAGGTGTGCGGCAAGGAGGAGGAAGTAGAGAGGCTTGACCAGGTAACGAGGAGGCAGTACTGGAGAGTGATGGGCCACGCCTGCCACACACAGACAGACAGACACAAGGGGGGATGAGGAAAAACCTATGGGAAAAACACAAGAAAACACATGGAAGGCTGAGGCCGTAACAGGATCAGAGTGGATTTAGAACAAGAAACTTCACAGACAGGTTTTGGAGAGCTCTGAGGCTTATTGACACTTTGTTGGAGTGGAGGAGAAGGTCAAAGGTCAAAGGTGTCTTTATTGTCCCCACAGGGAAATTTGTCTGCAGCTGAAGACATACAAATACATAAACAAGACTAATAAATCATCCAAAACATCATGTGCATAAGTACATACAACATGAAACATGAAGCCCAGCAGAGATGCTCCAGCATCCAGATAAAAATGATAAAAGTGAAAGTGCAGCGTGCACTGAGCAAGAAATTAGAATTCAACTGCTATTCAACAGACAAATAGCAGCAGGTACAAATGAGACCCAATGTCTTTTAGTCTTCACCACAGGTAGTCTGTACCGTCTGCCTGAGGGGAGAAGACTACAGTCTGCATAGAAAGGGTGATCTGGGCTCTGCAGGAGAGAAGTCGCCTTTCTGACCACCTGGCCGTTTCTGAATTGTCACAGTTCAGTAGGCAGTACGTACTTTTCAGTATGGAGTTTCAGTATACTGAACTTTCGTGGTCATTCAGTATGCATTTTTTGGGTCCACCTCAGTATACTGAACATTTCAGTATGGATACTAACTTCTGGGTTTTATGCAGTATGGATCAGATGCATGCTTTCAGGAAATGAATTGTATTTTACCACCCACAATGCTGTGCGAAATTAAACGTAAATCGTCACGTCACTTCTCCAAATCAAAACAAACGAGCGTGGATTAATTGAATCAATTTTTAATCTAGAGTTAAAGTCCCGACTGAAATCACTACTTTTAATTAACAACAGAAAATATAACAAATGTCTGCATTATTATAAAACCTTTCCCCCCTCTATTTAAATAATGATTTAACTATTTAAATGCGTCTTTATTGGTTTATTTTACTTTATATTCTGTATATTACTGTCTTTCATTTCTACTGTTCTTTATGTACTGTATGTTATTTAGTTATTTAATCTGTCTTTTACTTGATTTACATTGTAATATTGTTTTTTGTTTACCTGACTGTATGTGCGCATTACTATTCTTGAATAAAGCTAAACAAAAAAAACTAAAAAAAATGGGTGGATGCGGACGGTTCGGGACGCCACTTCCATACTGAATGAATCAGAAGAAGTAGGAACAAATATCTGCTTACTGTGCGCGCCTACTGAATAGTAGGTACTAAACAGTGTACAGCACGGATAGTAGGTACTGTCTACTGCCTACTGACAGATTGAGTAGGTACTTGGCAATTCGGATGCAGCCCCTGTCTGCTGTAGATGTCGCTCAGCTGGACTTGACTCAATCTGCAGTCTTGCTCGCCACTTTAACCAGGCTACCAAGTCTGTTTTTATTGGCTAGAGCCAGATTACCATACCAGGCAATAATACAAAACATTTAAACCGATTCAATATAACTTTTAAAAAGGTCATCATCTCAGAGGATACATTAAAAGAAATACAACCTCTGATGGACCTTCTTTTTTATAGCAACGGCATGTTGCTCAAAGGACAGTTTGTTGACCAGCACAGTGCCTACATGCTGTTGTAGGCTATCTCAATACCAGCACCCATTACTATGGTTGGCAGAGGACTGAATTGAGTCTTCCTAAAATCAATAATCAAGTCTTTTGTTTTCAAAGCATTTAGAATTCATCAACCACAGGCCCATGGTGATGCTCCTCCCCTTCAAGAAGACTTAAAATGACTGTGTCGAGAATGTGACCTTTAAACAGTCTCGATGAGCGTCTATCACACTGAGTGACATGATGTGAATGACTGTACAACACCTCACTGTTACGGCAGGAGGAAAGGTCAAGAAGGAGCACCCTGATGGACGCCATAAGCTGAAACACATCAAGTTGATCTTCATACATTAAGTGTGGCTGGAGCTTTTTGACCTCTTGAAGCCTTTCTCTCTTTATGCACATTGGTAGTTTATGAGGTTCTGCTTCTTCATAACGGGAGGAAATCATAGTGACGCTCGGACTGTCAACTGCACAGCATGTCTTTAAGAGAGACAGCCTCTATTTGGACACTTTGGTGTTTATCTTAACAAATAACATTAAAGTCTGCACAACCTCCTCTCAGACTCTGCTGCACCTGCAACATAAACGCTGTGCACCTGTAGATCTCCTCCCCTCTGTGCAGGACTCATTTTACCTGTTTTTAAACTCTGCAGGTTTCTCTTCTTACTCCTGCACGGGTAATTGCACGTGTTTTAATGTCGATCTCTGTCAGGGATTCTTTAGGTCGATATTTACATCCAGCTGCATAGTTTCAGTCGGAGCTGAGGAGGACCTGAACCTGTCAGACCGGTCTGAGCTGTGACTCACAGGCAGGTAGAACCGGTCCCGCAGGTGAGTCCCTGAGGGTGCTGCATCCAGGGTAGGTTCAGGGTGGGGGTTAATGCACAGACATGCACACACCCACACAGACACACACACTCGAGGAGCAAAGAAGCAACATTTATTATATTCTTTGCATGAAACACCATCTCCAACAGATTCTCTTTATTTCTCACACTCAACACTTTTTACACATGCACATGTTTGATCAGACTCCATGTTCCCGTCATAACAAGTCAAATTCTGTTCTTATTTCTCGAGGTCTAGATGTATTTATCTCCTGATCTCGGGCTAGCAACGTTGCTTTTCTTTCTGCTAACGGGTTCATTTAAGCTGTTTGCTGAAATTCATTATCACGTGAAAACAAGTGTCGATATCCTGAGATCAGAAGATGAAAGAGATGAGGATATCTCGAGGGCACAACAAAAAAAGCTTTCTGGGGCCCCGTCGCACGAGGAGGGTCCATGGAGGTTAACTGAAACACGGTGACCAGATTTTATTTCACGCCGAAACACTCACCGTCACCTCTTAAAGCGACAGTAACACTTTTTAATGTATTTTTGCTTCAGTTAATTGCAGCCTGTTTCAACATAACCCCCCCCCTTTCTTAAAATGATATGAGACTTTTTTTTTTGTAAAGTTACCAACATCAGTGAACTTCTCTGTTATTTCAGTTACGTCAGAATGATTCAAGCCGTTCCAGGACCTGCACAGAGTCAGGATGCCAGAAACAAAGAATAAAAAAGGGAGTGAACTGACTCGAGCATTTAACCCCAACATGAACTCTAACAAACTTATTTCAGTCAGAACTAAAGGCTGATCAGTCAGAGGGAGCTAACGTTAGCATGGAGGCTAACGCTAACACGACTGACTGAATATGCATATGTTGATTTAAATCAGATCCTAGGAGGGCCCATCACGCTGTCCTTTAAGGACCCAGACATTTCTGTTGGCGGGCCTGAAGATGAAAAAGACCAACATTCACTCTGAGAGTTTAAACACATACATGCGTTGGCACCGGAGAGACGAACCCAACCCTAACCTTAAAACAACAGAGTACATAGAATGTATGTCTGCTGAGGAACAACCTCCCCGAGTAGATCCGAGCAGCAAGGGGCAAGCAGTGAGCTCTTTATCGAGCTCTTTTAAAAACATGTTTTTTATGGGAGTTCTTCTGTGAGCA